ATTTTAGCTTCGATGACGTCAGCATCCCACGTGATCAGCGGCGAGGTTGAGTGTGGTGGTCAGCATCATTTCCACATGGAGACACAGGTAACCCATTTTCTCCCATATTCTATAAGGTAGAAAAGAATTTAATAAAATTCAATCTATTAATTCTTTTCTTTCTTTCAGGTTGCTTTGTGCATATCTGAGGAGGATGGGATGACCGTCTATAGCGCATGTCAAGGAGGGGACTTAGTACAGATGGGTGTGGCCAGATTTTTGGGCGTCTCTTCAAACAGGTAAGGYAACCACCTATTTTTTCCCAATAACCAAAGCCCTACTTTGTTTTAAACTGAGTACCGTCACACAGGACAAATGTTGCATACAATTGCTCAGTGCATCCACCTTTGGAACCTTTGGAACAATATTTAGGAAATTATAATAGACCATTTTCGAGTTCCAAATTACCGCTGTGTTCCTTGATTACAGAATCATTTGCTCAGGGTTAGCCTCGTATCAGTGTCTAATTATTCACAAATACCAACGGTAAACCAAAGAATGCACAACTTCAACAATACAAACACGTTGAAATTCCACCGGACCTTTACTGGAACACATGAATATTCTGCACAAAATCAACGCTAACCCTAAGCAACTGAGAACTCGAAGCTGGAGTATTGAGATTTACCTTTCTAACGATGCACACAATATTTTGTTTTGAAGTAAACCTGTCTACAGTGCTGCTGCAAAGACTTGATCTTCATTCAAGCCAAAGCCAATTTCCTGCGCACGGCTTGCCAGAATGTGATAGCGTTCCTTACTTGATTTTCTCGCAAGAAAAGTAGCACATTTTACCTCGTGTGATATCCCCAGAAAACTCTGTACCAGGGCTCTTGAGGTCTAGCCTTAAGAAATTCAATTGGTCCTTTTTGATGGTTGGTTGGATTGTGTTTGAACTATATTTCTCGCTCAAAATGATACTCTTTCTTTGCAGCGTGGATGTTATTGTCAGACGTTGTGGAGGTGCCTTCGGAGGTAAAGCCACAAGATCAATGCAAGTAGCCTGCGCATGCACACTGGCCAGTAAAATACTTGACAGGTATGACATATCAATAATTGGAGAATATAAGATATGATAATAATATAATATATGATATTGGAGCTCAACAGTTGGCCAGCCCGTTAATTTGAGAGTGAAGCTACGGTATAGTTGTAGTATACTCGTGCGATGGGCCATAAGGGACATGAAGCGAGTTAGATGAATTGCTGTAAATAAGTTGAAACAAATAAGAAATGAGTTCCTGCAAATAAAAAATGAATTGCTGCTTGTTAGATGAGTCGCAGCTGTGAGTAAACTGTTCCTTCACTTGGAATAGCC